ACTGATGGGCACTTGGGCTGTTTCCAGATCTTAGCTATTGTAAACTCTGATTGATTTTTAGAGAGAGAGGAAGGGGGGGGGAGAGAGAGAGGCAGAAACATGGNTAAACTCTGATTGATTTTTAGAGAGAGAGGAAGGGGGGGGGAGAGAGAGAGGCAGAAACATGGATGTGAGAGAGATACATTGATTGGTTGCCTCCCACACTAGCCCCAACAGGGGACAGGGATCCAACCTACAACCCAGGTATGGACCCTTGAACGGGGAATTGAACCTGTGACCCTTTGGTGCATGGGCCGATGCTTTAACCACTGAACTACACCAGCCATGGCTAACTTTTAAGTATAAAAATACAGTCTAACTTAACGATAAAAAGTATAGTTGTTAGGTGAAATTTTTCCCATTACTTAACATGACCAATGCCATCATTATGAAGTTAGCTGAGCACCAGTTCACCTTTGGATGAGTGAGTTTTTATCACCTGAAAGTAATGTTCTTGCATTGACAAGTGGGTCCATTAAGTTATTTACTTCTTTGGATTATACAGCTTTTAACAAGCACATGGCAGATGACTATAAGTCACCTATGTTAGCACCTACTTCTTCGCTATATACAAGGTGTTCCCCCAAAATGTATACTCAACTTTGAATGCTTATAAAATTAGTATTTGTTAACATACAGTTCATTTTCAAAATTTAAAAGTATCTATAGAAATGAATAATTTTTTTTGTCAATGCCTGTTTTCAAACTGATAACTGTTCTGATCCAGGCACTGCTGATAACTGGAAGCAATGGAATTGCAAACATCAAGAATCATTTCGTTTGGTATTTGTGTGCCCTCAATTTGTTGACTGTTGCCAGTTTTGTACCGTAAACTTTATCTTTTATGTATCCCCATTAAAAAAAAAATCTAGTGGCACTTTAGGATAAATTTTCTTTGTTCAAAGCTTAGTCTGGCTTCACTCATTATTTCAGAGCAGTTAAATCTGAAAACGAGTGAAAATTGAGTTATCAGAGTTAGAGTGTGTACACATTTTTTTTGGGACACCCTATATATATATATCACACCTGCATCCTCTTCCTGCTGCAGGGATAAATTGTCTTGCTGCTGCCAACGACTCTGCTTCTGTCTGTAAGTTTCCTTAATAAACTCTTTGTTTAATGCTGGAGTTGTCAGCCTCTTTCCTTGGTCTTGTGGCACATAGGTAATACATAATGCAGTGACATAATCCTTTATTATCATTATCAAGTAATATGTATATTATTGTATGTGCTATATGTTTATATGACTGGTGGCACAGTAAATTTGTTTACAGCAGCATCACTGCAAACACATGAGTAATGCGTCGTGCTACGATGATGGCAAAAATAGGAATTTTCCAGCTCCATTATAATCTTATGGGACCATTTTCATATATGCAGTCCATCCTTGACTGAAATGTTATTTGGCACATGACTGCACTGGTTTTGTGTTGATGTTAGTTTTTGCTTCTCTTGGTTGTGTAGACACATAGGAGTGGAATTGCTGTGTTTTGTGGTAACCATGTTCATCATTTTGAGGATCTGCCAGGCTGTCTTCCAAAGTGGCTTCACAACTTTACTTCTCACAAGCTATATATGAGGGTTCTGACTTTCTCACATCTTCACCAGCGCTTGTCTGTCTGTCTTTATAGCCATTCTAGTAGTGTGAACAGATATCTGCTTTAGTTTTGACTTGCATTTTCCTGATGACAATGTCTAGAATCTTTTATGTGCTTATTGCCATATGAATTTCTCCTTTAGAGAAATATCTACTCACATTCTTTGCCCATTATTTAATTCTATTATTTATCTTTATCTTGTTGCCTTTTTAAAAAATTGTGGTCCTATGAGTTTTTCATATGTATTTATGTGTTGTGTCAGGTATGTGATTAGCAAATCCCAGTTGCAACCCTAGTTGAAGTAGTATTGCCTTTTCTATACCTGATGTAGTTGTGGTTTTTTGTTTGTTTTTTTGAGATTTTGAGAACATATTTTTTTAAAATCTCAATTCTTAAAATAATTGTTTGCTTTTTATTTTATTGGTGTGATGTCATCCAATATTGCTCTAAAATACACATTAGGTAGTTTTTTTCTCTGTGTTAAAGTGACCTTTGACTCTATTACCATTAGATCCCTCAGCGATCCTCTTTGTGGGACCATTTTTTCTCAATTTCTGGGCACTCGGTTGTTTATTTGTAAGGCCTTGTTGATTTGAAAATTTCTTCAGGAACCAGGTTCCCCTCTTACCCAACAGGTGTACCAGGCCCCAGGCTTGGTCTGCACCTATGCCCATCACCTCATTGTGGGAGGGGTTGTGTCTCTGCCTCTGTCAGATATGAGGGGACTAGACCAGGCTGCAGAACACTGTTGACTTCCAAGGTGAGAGCCGCTTAGATCAAGCAGCACTGGAAATCTCAGTGTTCATGAGTTTGACATTCTGGTTCCAGGTCTTGGAGCTGACAAATAACTTTTGAGCAAGCCAAGTATTCAATCCCACATTATCTGAATGATGATTTCATTTTCAGTCTTTAACATACTCAGAATCTGCTATGTCTCAGTAAAAGCCATTTTTTATGATTATGTGTGTATAAGTTTATATCACTTGTTCTTGTACTTTGCTTCAAGGTTCCAAGTACACTCAAGTACACTGAGTGTACTGCATTTGATTTGCTTGCTTATTGTCATTTCCCAAAAAAGCATGAGCTCAGGAGTCCTAGGAATCGAGTTCCGTTCTGGCCTCCCCCATCCTCCTGCACATGTTGGTGAAGAGGTGCCTTATTGAAATAGAATATGTGGGATGTTTCAGGACACGGTGGTCTTTGCGGATGTGGCTGTGTACTTCACTCAGGAAGAGTGGGCTTTGCTGGATGGTGCTCAGCGGAAGCTCTACAGAGAAGTGATGTTGGAGACCTTCAGGAACCTGGCCTCAGTGGGTAAGGATGGCTTTATCCCTTACTTAGTCTCTTAGGGAAAAAGTATTTCTTACAATTGTTCTTTTTTATTGGGTCCAACGAAGGGCAGTATGTTGAAAAAAAGACAGATGCAATCCAAGCCTTCATGGAACCTAACCAGAGTCAAATATCTTTTCATGATTAAAAAGTTTTATATATTAAATTGACTTTTTATTTCTCTTGAACAAAAGTCTGACGCTCCCTTACATTTATAAGTGTGAGCATAGTCTCAGGTCCACTGTGGGGCAGTGAGAACAGCTTTATGGTTTTCACCCTTGAGACAGTTACACTGTGATTAATACATATTTGACATAGTCTTGCTACAATCCACACTATACATTATCACTGGCTATGACGCCCAAGTATGGGCCCTTCTCATAGATTGTTTGTTGCCCTCCACCCTCCATCATGAGCATCTTTTCTCCAGGTGCAGGGCATCAGCTGAACACACCATCTATTTCCTAATGGCAACTGGGGACTGTAAATAAAGGCTTCATCTAGGGCCTCTGTATCTGAGAACTCCAGAGAACCACCACCCTCAGGAGGAATAGATTCTGGATAAGAGACTGATATTTGGACAAATCCATTAGAAACGACTCAATCTGTATTTGAGAAGAGTGACATTTTACATTTACCTGGCATTCCTGTTGGATTTTTTATGCATCTTCACTCACTTGGGAAGGCTTTCTGTATCTCCTCTTATAAAGGGAGTATTTGTGTGCATGCATTTTGCCCTGTTCCTCCCTACTTTGCATTTTTTATAATATTTAACTTTATTTGGTCTTTATCATTTTTATAGTATTTCTTAGTGATCAGAAAGCCATTTTGACTTACTTTTTCTATTATTGCCAAAGTCCCAAATAGCAAAGGTCCTTAGAGTTTTTCTTTGCTTACACATTTGTTCTTCCTTATAAAATTTGCTNAAATAGCAAAGGTCCTTAGAGTTTTTCTTTGCTTACACATTTGTTCTTCCTTATACATATACATCTTTGGATCAGTATATGAAAATAAATCCATACATTGTTCTTTTTTTGATGTCAACATTTCTTTCCCAGGAGATTTAATTGAATTATGCTATCAGTTGTTACAGATTGTTTCACTCAAGTTAAAACCCGTGCATCATGTCCTGGGCAGGATACTTTGGAGAATGAAATATCCAGTGAAGGGAAAATACTAAGATTCACAAGAAATGATTCCTGGTCTGTTTTTAGAGACAACTGTACAGTTTATAACATTGCAGATCAGCACCAACCCCAAGAGAGGCATTTGAGGTGAGTGGCACAGGGGAACAAGAAATCTCAGCAGAGTGTTAGACCAACTTGAAATTAAAGAAAAAGTACCAACCTAGCTAATCAATAGTGTACTCAGAGAATTTTCATGAGACACTATTTTCATTAATGTGATGTAGATATTGAATATCTGAAACAGAATTTAGATGGAAACAATGATCAGGAAACCCCTGGATGGCCCTATTTTAGCTCAGCTAGAGCAATAAGCTTGTTTCATGATGGAACAATGCAGGCAGTGCCAAAAACATACGCATGCATTGAAAATGGTAAATATGTGGTCAAAATAATCATTAGCATCAACACTAATCATTAATAAAGAAATAGCATGATCATTAATCACTAATAGTGTGCTTCTTGTTTTGAACAGAAGTCATTTTGTGGAGAATCTCTGTGAAACTAATGAACGTATTCAATGTGGAGACACCCTGAACCGGATCACAGATCTTCCTGTGCATGAGAGACATCTGACTGGAGTTAAACACTATGAATGCACTAAGTGTGGAAAAGTCTTCACAGATTGTTCTTTCCTTAACAATCAGCAAAAATCTCTCACTGGACACAAGCCTCATCAATGTGAGGAATGTGGACAAGTCTGCAGGTGTGTCTCGTGCCTAAGTTCTCAGGTGGAAATGGACCTTGTGGAGAAACCCTATCAACGTCCAGATACTGGGAGGGCATCTAAGAGATATGTGAAGAGTCTCAGTAATAAAAATTCTATTGAGTGTAAGAAATGTGGAAAAGCTTTCACTTGCCACTCATTCTTTCGGGGACATGTGAGAGGTCAGTGTGGACAGAAAATCCACGTGTGCAAAGTATGTGGGAAAGCCTTTATGTATTACTTTTACCTTACAAGACATGTGAGAACTCACACTGGAGAGAAATCCTATGAGTGTAAGGCATGTGGGAAAGCTTTTGGTAGTCTGAAATACTTTAGAAGACATGTGAGAACACACAGTGGAGTGAAACCCTATGTATGTAAGGAGTGTGGGAAGGTCTACAGGTATCTCACAAATCTGCAAGAACATGAAAGAACACACAGTGGGGAGAGACCCTACGTATGTCAGCACTGTGGGAAAACCTTTAGTCGTCACTCGTCCCTTCGAGGGCATGTGAGAACACACAGTGGAGTGAAACCCTATGAATGTCAGCAATGTGGGAAAGCTTTCAGGTTTCCTGCAAACCTTCAAGTACATGTGAGGACACACACAGGGGAGAGACCCTGTGAATGCCAGCACTGTGGGAAAGCATTTAGATATGCTGCATCCCTACGAGTACATGTGAGGACACACACTGGGGAAAGACCCTATGAATGTCAGCAGTGTGGGAAAGCCTTCACTAGTCACTCTTACCTTCAAAAACATGTGAGAACACATAGTGGGGAGAAATCCTATGAATGTAAGGAGTGTGGGAAAGCTTTTAGGCAACTTCAACATTTTCAAGGTCACATGAGAATACACAGTGGAGTGAAACCCTATGAATGTAAAGAATGTGGGAAATCCTACAGTTTTCTCTCATCCCTTCGAATACATGTGAGAATGCACAGTGGGGAGAGACCCTTTGAGTGTCAGCAATGTGGGAAAGCCTTTAGTCGTCTCTGCTCCCTTCAAGGGCATATGAGATCACACACTGGGGTGAAACCCTATGAATGTAAGGAGTGTGGGAAAACCTTCAGGTATCCTGACAACCTGCGAGTACATGTGAGGACACATACTGGGGAGAAACCTGATGAATGTCAGCACTGTGGGAAAGCATTCAGGTATCCCACATCCCTGCGAAAACATGTGAGAACACACAGTGAAAAGAATACCTGAATGTCAGCAATGTGGGAAAGCCTTCACGTATCTTGAATATCTACAGCATATGTGAGGACACACGATGGACAGAAACTCTGAACACAAGGACTGTGGGATGCCTTCATTCTTCTTTAAAATTTTGTTTTAAATGAGAGCAAACACTGGAGAGAAACTGGATGGAAAGAATGTGGAAAAGCCATCAGATGTAGCATTTCACTTATTTTGTACATGAAAACTCAGAGCTGGACTGAAATCTTTTAATTATTATAAATATGGTATTGCCTTTGTAAATAGTTCATCCTTAACAACGATTTCCAGTGTTTAATTTCTTTTTCTTTTAATGTATCTTTATTGACTTCAGAGAGAGGACAGGAGAGGGAGAGAGAGAGATAGAAGCATCAATGATGAGAGAGTCATTGAGTGGCTGCCTCCTGCATGCCCCCAACTGGAAATTGAGCCCGCAACCCAGGCATGTGCCCTGACTGGGAATTGAACCCTGATCTCCTGGATCCTAGGTTGATGCTCAACCGCTGAGCCACGCCCAGCCAGGCCAGTGTATTAATTGCTGGTTCATGTTGTTGATATGAAAACTTGAGATAATATTTCTCTATGTTCCTTCATTTGTACTACACATATTTTATTATCTTGGATTTTAAATAATTGTATAGTTGTATAAAACTTGTTCATTTCCATTACAGTTACATTGGACATAGGGGTATTAAGTGGTTTTTGTTGTTGTTTTTTTCATAATTGAGTGATTTTTGTGTCAAATTTACAGTTGGGGAAACCAAGGCTCAGAGAGACAATGACTTGCCAAATATCATACAACAGTTAAGAGTTGCTAGGGCTTCTCTTTTTTTGTTTTTTATCCTTACTTGAGATTTTTTTCCATTGCTTTTCATAGAGATTGGAAGGGAGAGAGAAACATCAATGTGAGAGAGACAGATCAATTGATTGCCTCCCGCACATGCCCTGACCAGGGCCAGGGATTGAGCCTGCAACTGAGGTACATGCCCTTGGCCAGAATTGAACCTGGGACCCTTCAGTCTGCAGGCCAACGCTCTAGCCAGTTCAGGCTTTTTTTTTTTTAATGGCAAACTTTATTTGTAAATTCTGAGTGGTAAACATCTCTCTTTTATATTTTTCTTTTTACATTCAATATTATTTTGTATTAGTTTCAGGTTTAACAACAGTGGTTAGATTAAGTGTTTGTTTTTATTTTTTATATTTTTAATGTGAAATGGTATAATTTTAGATGAAAAGTGTTTTGATTCCTATTTTCCATTATGTTCCTACGATGTGACCATGATATGAGACCTCTGTTGTTTAAATTTGTTCTCTGGTCCACTGCTGCAGATACTGGAGTTTCTTGACTTGATATCTACCCTTCCTTATTATTGAAACTTGTATCTTTCACATTTGCTGCTAATGGATACCACATCTGTGTTCCTCACAGAAGTCAGTAACTGTGGCAAGATTGCCTCTAATTATGTTCATAATTTGACCTTTGCTCAGCATCCTTGATCTTAATTGGAAATTGGACATGATGCCTTGAGTTACAAAAAGAGACCTCATGGTGTGATAAGAAAGCTGGTGTCTAGATGATTGCATGTATTGTGTTGTCAGCGGGTAAGGTGGGAAGCTATATCCCATCTTCCTTCTGTTTGGGTCATGAGAAGAGGAAGATGCATGATGTTTGGAAATGAAGAAGACATGGCTCTCAGATCTTCTCTACTGTCAGGAGACAGAGATGTGGGAACCTAGTGGACACATGCTTCTGACTTCTGGCTTTGCTCATCTGGAACAGCCCCAACCAAACACATGACTGATGTTTGTTTTCTCCTAGGCAACAGATTCCACAGACATTTCCAGGAGCTCCCCCATCATGGACCCTGTTTGTGTTTTTTTTTTAGGTTTACATAGATCCTTGCATTTTCCTATGGCTCTTTGATGTCCAGGCCACTTCTTAAGGCTATGGAACTTAGCAATCTCTCATCCTGTCACCTCCTTCATTTCCAATGCCTCTCCTAATAACATGATTTTTGTAGGAAGTATCTTGTTTCTCTACTGGTAGATCTTTTTCCTGCCTCAACCCTGGCATATCTAATGCTGGAGCCACAAATACAGGAGACTTACCTCCCAGGCTACATTGTTCAGAGGCTGCACTGACCTTGCCTTTCTTGTTTCTGGATACTTCCATGGTTGAAATAAACATTTGTGAATACATTTAACAGTTTGTGGAAGTTTTCTCTTATAGCTGAATGCTCTCTAAATAATAAGTCCAGTGTGTTTAATTATGTTCAATTTTTATAGGTGATTACCAAGTGTTGGTTTCATTTTTTTATATGTAATTCAAACTGCGTTTTTTTCCAAATGGAGTTTTCTACATTATTTCTTAGCTATTATTTAGGTTTTCAAATCTGTTGCATACTGGCACATATTATTATGTTTTATGTTTTATGTTTCATTGAGAGTATATGTTATAAGTTATTCTTGTCATTGTTACCATTTTTTCATATGTATTCTGGGGTAATAGTACTAAATACATATAGCTTTTTAAGTTTTTTCTGTTTTTTCCTTAATTTTTATGCAGCTCCAACAGTGTGGGAGGGGAAGTGGACATATATATATCTTCCCTAGTTGTCTGTGGAGAACTTGAACAAAGTGTTCTAGGTTAGGTGAACACTTTAGTTGTAGTGGGAATGAGTTAGGAGACGGAACTTCAGTTTATAGTGCCTTGAGTAAACTCTAATTTCTAGAAATGCTGCTTCTAAATGTATGTTTTCAAATAGCTCTTAGAGGTTTAATGGAAAAATTGATACCAGAATGGAAACATATTCCAGTCTTATATCTTGTTGCTAGTAATTTTGCTGCATATCCACAGGATAATTCTTCCTATGATGGATGGTAAATGATTGATAATGCTACTGCCCAGTGATGGTTCCTTATATTATTTCCACTGGATGAAATAATGGGCCTTGCTTTTCTCTTTTCACTCAGCTCACTATTGTTCTATCAATCTTTCCTTAGAAGACAAAGCTTAGTTTGTGTCTCTGTGTCAGATGGCCTCCAGTGATACTTCTCTGGCCACGTGCATTCTGGAAGTATTGTGTTTTCATTTACCTGGCTGTGGGATCTAAGTCTCAGATGGAATGTAAGGTGAATAGTCCCTGAGGGACTTGAGAGAGGAAATGGTCAGTAAAGATACCTATGCTGCCTGGCTGGTGTGGCTCAGCGGTTGAGCATCGACCTAGGGTTCGATTCCCGGTCAGGGCACATGCCCAGGTGGCGGGCTCAATCCCCAGAAGGGGGCATGCAGCAGGCAGTCAATCAATGACTCTCTCATCATTGATGTTTCTATCTCTCTCCCTCTTCCCTCATCTCTCTGAAATCAGTAAAGATATTAAAAAAGAAAAAAAAAGAAAAAAAGATACCTGTGGTCAGCCCTGGCTGATGTGGCTCAGTTGGTTGGAGCACTGTCCTGTGCACCAGAACGTGGTGGGTCCGCTTGCTGGTCAGGGCACATACCCGGGTTACAAGTTTGATCCCCAGTTGTGGCACGTGTGGAGGCAACCAATCGATGTTTCTCTCTCTTTCCTTAAAATCAATGAGCATGTGCTTGGGTGAGGATTGAAAAAAAAGGAAACTATCTTGTATTAGTTTGGGATGCTGGTGACTTCTGAAAGGGCATTAGCCAGTAGGATGTGGGATAAGGGTAGCCTCACTGTTTTATATGGGTTATGATGTCACATATTTATTTTATAGTATTTTTATCAAATACACGTTTTATGCATTTTTCTGTATTTACATTTTACAGTAAAATGTTATGGTAGCAATTAATGTAATCACTGTAATATCTCATTTTAAAAAATCTATATCTCAATAGAGGGAGCAAAAGCATTTTGTATTATTCAACATTCATCCATGATCAATTTGTTGATTTAGGGATAGATGAAAACTTACAAAATTTTGTGAAGGCCCTCTTCAAAAATAATGTTTATGAAAGCCTGGTTAGTGTTGGGCCATGCACCAAAGGGCTGCGAGTTTGATTCCTTGTCACAGACTCCACCTGGGTTGTGGTTCGCTCCCC